CCAGAGCACATCACCCATCCCATAAATTCTCCCACCATCCCACCCACCTCCCTCCCACCCACATGCCCATAACCCATCTGTCTTTTCCTCCATGCCCACGCCCCTGTGCCCTCCTTGTGCCCTTCACGCCCCTGTGCCCTCCACGCCCCTGTGCCCTCCACGCCCCTGTGCCCTCCACGCCCCTGTGCCCTCCACGCCCCTGCCCCGCCCACATGTGTGTGTGTGTGTGTGTGTGTGTGTGTGTGTGTGTATAACAGCTGAACTTCGTGCCACAGGCGGATCTGATAGCCGTGGTGGACAAGGGCACAGTCGTGGAGCAGGGCACCTACAAGGTCTGCTCTCCTCCCCTCTCCCATCTCGCCCATTTTTACAACCTCAAAACGCATACACCCGCACATCCTCACGCGTCTTTGCTGCTTCACCTGGCACGCTCTTTCTGTGGTGCCGGAACCCTTTCTTCACCTGCCTAGGACTACTCAGCGCAGTGAGTGAGCAGCAGCGCATGTGCGTGATGCCTGTGTTCCCCCTGCAACTGACCAACACTCCGTCTCTAACCCTCTGAATCGTTACGCTCTCTCAGCACTCCCTCACTCCCTCCCTCGCTCCCCGCCGCTCCCTCCCTACCCACTCCTCAGTAGCTGATGAGCCAGGGGGGCATGTTTGCACGGCTCTCATGCTGGAGAGTGGCTCGCACAAGCATAAGCATAAGCACACAGACGACTCGTGACTTTCGAGTCGACTCAAAAGTCGCCCTGCCTCCCTCCCCCGCCCCTAACAGGAGCTGATGGCGCAGGGGGGCATGTTTGCGCGGCTTATGCTGGAGAGTGGCTCGCACAGGCACACCTCCGACGATGCTGCTGACGCCGCCTCCTCCTCCTCGCACTCGTCACCCTCTGACCTCGCCAAGCGCTCCCTCTCCCGCCTCGTGTCTCGAGGCAGGCAGCTCGGCGGCTCTAAGGTGAACCCTGCTCTGCTGCTCTGTGCCACACTGCACACTGCACACCACACTACATGCCATGCACACTCTCACCTGCCCCTCTCTGTGGCTGCCAACCAGAGGCTTCTCGCACCGGGGGACCTTCAACCTACCCGTGCCTATCAAGTGATTGCCTTCCCCTCTCAAACCTTACTTACCAACATGCCCTCTCCCTCCCCTTCTCTCCCTCCCCTTTTTCCCCTCCCCTCCCCTCCCCCACCTTCCCCTCCCCTTCCCTCTCTCCCCGCTCTTCCCCCCCCAACCCCCGTCTGCTCTCTTGTGTGTGTATCAGGCACGGACACGCAGCATGAGCCGTAGATTTTCCTTCTCCGCTCAGGTAATGCACTGCATCCATGCGACGTGAAACCGAACTTGTGCAAGCGCGTACCGCTGTTCTTCTTTTGCTGTAAGCCGGACTTCAATCTGCTGCTCGCTCGCTGAGAACTGTAACTGCACTGCTAGAAGGCTGTGCTGCACAGCCTGCTGCCAGCTAGCGAGCACAGATTGAGCGCGAGTGCGAGATATGCAGTCAAAGCATCAGGCGGAGACAGTTTCTGCTTGCTCACGCGCTTAACTCAGCTCCTCGTCACTATGCCTTGCGCTGCAGCATGTGCTCACATGTCATCTCTTTCCGTGTGCGTGCGTGTGTGTGTTACAGGGAACTCTGGTGGATCAGGAGCAACGTGCCAGAGGCATGCTCAAACTGGAGGTAACCACCACATCTCCTCTCCTCCTCCTCCTCCTCCTCCTCCTCCTCCTCCTCCTCCTCCTCCTCCTCCTCCTCCTCCTCCTCCTCCTCCTCCTCCTCCTCCTCCTCCTCCTCCTCCTCCTCCTCCTCCTCCTCCTCCTCCTCCCCTAATGCTCTTCCTCTTTCTCCCTTACAATCTATTATCCCCCCATACTTTCTCCCTCTCTCCCCCCCCCCCCCCCCTCTCTCACTGCAACCTTCTCCCTTCATGTGCTCCCCCGCCTCACTCGACCCCACCCATCTCCACCGCACTGCACTCCTCCCCGCACCAGGTGTACAAGAAGTACTGGCTGGAAACGAGCTGGATCATCCCGGCGGGCGTGCTGATGCTGTTTGTCATCGTGCAGTGTGTCGACGCCTTCACCCGCTACTGGCTCGCCTACTGGACCAAGAACCAGTTCAACCAATCTGCAGGCTTCTACCTCGGTACGAACGCATGCATGCATGCATGTGGAGCGCATGCATGCTTTCACGCGCTATTGGCTCAGGTCTTGGACCACGAACCAGTTCAACCAGTCTGGGTCAGGCGTTCCCGGGCGTGTGGACGTCCAAGAATCTTTCTCTCTCCCTCCCTTCCGTCTCCCCACCCTGCCACCACCCCCCCTCCAGGCATCTACGCATCTCTGGCCATGCTGTACACGATTCTCATCTACTTCCGCACATTGGGCCAGGCGTTCCTGGGGCTGTGGACGTCGAAGAAGCTGCACGAGGGCATGCTGGCGTCCGTGCTGCGCGCGCCCATGTCCTTCTTCGACACCACGCCCGTCGGCCGCATCCTCAACCGCTTCAGGTATGCACTGTTTGGAATTCTCAGTAGTGAGTTCTGCACCTGCCTGCACCCTCAAAAGTACGTACTTGTGGGTTCTGCACCACGCCCGTCGGCCGCTTCCTCAACCGCTTCAGGTATGCACCGCATTCGGGAGTTGTTCTCAACAGCGAGCTCTGCGCCAGCACCTCAATTGTACGTACTCGTGGGTTTGACACCCCGCCTGTTGGCCGCATCCTTAACCGCTTCAGGTATGGGGCAAGGGTTGCAAGAGTTGCGCTGCACACAGCGCAAGACCGCGCTTGAACTCTTGTCTTTAGTGTCGACTGAAAAGTCACCTCACTGCACACGGTGCAAGACCGCACTTGAAATCTTGCTCTGCTCGTGCTTGAAAGCTTGAGGCGACGACACTTGGTGGTAGCTTGGTTCCCTCTCCTGTACCCGTGCTGCTGCTCCTGCTGGTGTTTCAGCCTGTGTGCATGATTGCATGCACGGCTCACCCATTTTTCCCCTCGCCCCTATTCCTCTGTGTCTGTACGGCATGGTGCTCCTTTCCCCCCGTGGTTCCAACTTCGTGTCTCCGCAGTGCGGATCAGGCAGGAGTGGACGAGACGCTGCCCTTCTCCTGGTCCACCTTCCTTAACATCCTATTCCAGGTGCCTACCACTGCTGCCTGCTCCCCTGCTTCCTTTCCCTGCTACTTGCTGCTCGCCTATCGCCCTGCTTATTTCATTGCATCCGCCTCCGCTGAGAATCCTCACATCACATCACATCCCGTCATGCCACTGTTTCAAATGGTCCTTTGAATTATATCGGATATAGGTACATGATTGCTACTCCCTCACATTCTTAAAGCAAACACCCGTGCTCTTTCCTCCCCCATGTGACATGCGTCCCCCTTTGTCATCACGCACTCGCAGGTGTTTGGCACCATCGTAGTGGTCACCATCGTCACATGGGAGTTCATCATCGCTTTCATCCCTGTCGCCTGCCTCTACTTCTGGGTGCAGCAGGTCCGTCCTCTCGCTCGCTCCTTGACCTCCTCTCCTCCCCTCTCCTTCCCCGTCCCTTTCCCCCTTCCCCGCCCCTTTTCCCTCCAGCCCCTCCCTCTTGCCCTCCTCTTGTATTTGTTGTCTATTTTCTCTCTCGCCTTAGAGTGCATGTCTTTCTGTGTGATTATGAGCAATTGTCCCTCAAACGCCACACGTACCCTTCACCATGGACTTCCTTGCCCTCTATCCCACCACTCCCCTCCCCTCCCCTCCCCTCCCCTCCCCTCCCCTCCCTCCCCTCCTCTTTTTCCCTGCCCCTCGCCCTCCCCGTTGGTCCCACCAGACATACCGCAAGACGGCGCGGGAGTTGAAGCGGTTGGATGCGGTGAGCAAGAGCCCTGTGTACCAGCAGTTCACGGAGACGCTCAACGGGTTACCTGTCATCCGCGCCTACAACCAGGAAGAGCGCTTCCTGCGCATGTGCGATGGTGCGTGCTGCTTATGGGGGGCATGCGCGATGGTGCGTGCTGCTGGGTTATGTGTGATGATGCTGAGCGCTATGCTATGTGACTGCTGGCTGTGAAGCGATTACTCAGTCATAGCCCTTACCAGCACTCAAAACGTATAATAGTAAAACTGCAACCTTCCCCTCAACCGTCTCCCACTCTCTCGCACTTCCCTTCCCCTACCTCGCATCTCCGCCTCATCTGTCGCTCGTGTGCCCCTCGTGTGTGAGAGCAGACAAGCTAGACGCCAACAACAGGGCATTCTTCCTGCTCAAGTGCTGCGACCGTTGCTACCGCTGGCTCTCTGTGCGTCTGGAGCTCACCCTCCTCCCACTCTCCCTCACTCCTTCCCCCCGTGTGTCCCTCTTATCGGAGAGCAGACAAGCTAGACGCCAACAACAGGGCATTCTTCCTGCTCAAGTGCTGCGACCGCTGGCTGTCCGTGCGCCTGGAGCTCATGGGCAACACACTCGTCTTCGCCGCCGCCATCTTTGCTGTCAGTACCCTGTCCCCCTCGCACACACCCTTGCTTCTCACTGCTTCCCCCCATTCACACCCTTCTGCCCACGATCCCCCACTCCCTACTGCTCCAACAACCCTGCCTTTTTCCCTTTCCGCACAATGTTAGTGATTGTGACGCGCGTCGTGCCTATCCCGCTTATCCCGCTTCTCCTACCATGCCTGCCATGCAAGGTGACGGACAAAGTCTAAAAAAATGATATTTGTCACCTGTTCGTGCCATACAAATATTATTTTGAGTCTGACTTGAGCCCGTGTCCTCCGTGCCTGCCATGCCCCTGGGCTCTCATTGTGTGTTCTGCAGGTGGTGAACCGGGGCAGTGTGTTTGCGGGGTTTGCGGGCATCAGCATAGACTATGCGCTGCAGATCACGGCAGCGCTGGGCATGCTGGTGCGCCAGATGACCGACACGGAGAACCAGATGAACGGCGTCGAGCGCATCCTCGAGTACCGTGATAAGATCGACCACGAGGTGGGTGTGGAAGAGAGGTAGGGGGTTTGAGAGGAGTTCGGGGTGTGCGGTGTGGGGTGCAAGGTGCGGGGTATGAGGAGTGTGGGGCGTGGTGGTGGGAAGGGTGAGGGTGAGAGTTATGGGGAGGAAGGACGCGGCCAAGGAGACGTGGAAAAAAGTCTATGCAGTGTATTTTTGCACTTGCACACTCATGCGTAATCGCGCATGCATCCATCATGCCTTTTCGCTCACGCACCATCCTTGTAAATGTCTCTGTTGCGTGCATGATATACATGTTTCTTATCCAAACATGTGTGTGCTCTCGTGCATGTCGCTTCACGACTGCTCTGAATGTGTGTGTGTGTGTGCATGGCAAGCAGGCACCAGCAGTGATCAAGGACGCGGATCCGGGGCCAGAGTGGCCGGGCAAGGGCGAGATCCAAGTGGAGCACATCTCCATGCGCTACCGCCCCAACCTGCCCCTCGTGCTCAAGGACGTGAGTCTATCTGTCTGTCTGGCCCATGCGCGGGAAGAGCAAAAGGGGTAGTGGAGCAGTGTGGGTTGTGTCACGGGCAAGCGTGCTTTTTTGACTTCTCCAAGTCTTCGTCCGTTTCCATGTGAATACGTAACGCGGAGAACGCGAATATTGAGTGAACTTAAAAATCTCGCCCCTTCTTTCTTGCCCACTCCTACCCCATCCAGGTGTCAGTCTCAATCCAAGGGGGCGAGCGCGTGGGCATAGTGGGCCGAACCGGCTCCGGGAAAAGCTCCCTCATGCTGTGCCTCTTCCGCCTGGTAGAGCCCGCGGAGGGGCGCATCCTGATAGACGGCACGGAGATCTCAGGTCTGGGCCTCACACAGCTGCGCTCCAGACTGTCGATCATTCCCCAGGACCCCGTGCTGTTTAGTGGCACTGTGAGGAGTAACCTGGACCCGTTCAACTGCCACTCGGACGATGATGTGTGGACCGCGCTCAGTCACGCGCATCTCAAGGATAAGGTGGGTAGGGGAGAGGGTGAGGGAGAGGGGGAGACAGCATGGCGTGCTTGGCTTTAAGTTCGCTTTTATTATACTATTAACTGAGGGTTTGCTGCGGAGGAAGTACGCAGAGTAGAGCAGAGTAGAGCAGAGTAGAGCAGAGTAGAGCAGAGTAGAGCAGAGTAGAGCAGAGTAGAGCAGAGTAGAGCAGAGTAGAGCAGAGTAGAGCAGAGTAGAGCAGAGTAGGGATAGCGGCGAGACGTGGAGCATGGAAATGCATGTGTGAAGTGCAAGGACGAGGGGGCTGCGCTGATGAAAGGCAGTTATGTGCCATGCTCCTTATCCCAATGTTATTCTCTCTGTTGCTGCTGCTGCCGCTCCCGCTGCTTTGCTGTGTGGTGGGCATATGGGCAGGTGGGGGCGCTGACAGGGAAGCTGGAAGCATCGGTGGCGGAGTATGGAGAGAACTTCTCCGTGGGGGAGAGACAACTGCTGTGCCTTGCGCGTGTGTTGCTGCGCAAGAACCGCATCATGATCATGGATGAGGCCACCAGCAGCGTTGACTTTGAAACCGATCGCCTCATTCAGGTGTGCTCCCTGCCTGCCATGTGCTGCACATCATGTTCCTACTCTTGCCATGTCATGCCACCGCTGACATACGTCTGTACAACGTCCTTGTTCCTCCCACCCGCCCACTGCATAACCATCAACCAACGTCGAAACCAGTAACCTCTCTCCCACCTTTTTCCATGTCTCTCTTTCTCCCACCCGTGCTGTGCCTCGTCCCTGCGTCTTTGCTGTGAGCAGGCCACCATCCGCACGCACATGCAGGACAGCACCATGCTCATCATCGCTCACCGCATCAACACCGTCATTGACGCCTCGCGCATCCTCGTGCTCAGCCATGGCGAGGTGCGTGCCATGCCATGCCATGCCATGCCAGCCATACCGTACCGTGCTGCCACTCTTCCATCCTTGTGCTTCTTCATGCACCCTTGTCCTTGTCAAAAGCTACTGTATTCTTGTGCCCAGCCATGGCAAAGTCCCTTTCTGCCTGCATCTCTCCTTGCACGCCTGCAATGTACGGTAAGGGCGCGTTCGTTCTTGCCGAACCTGACAAAGTTCGAACTCAAACCGCTTTGCACCGTGGCAAAACGTTTTTAATTGTATTCTACCGTGACGAACCGTTACAAAAGTTCGAACTTTCAGTCAGGTTCGGCAAGAACGAACGCGCCCTAACCACCCTCTTTCTCCCCTCTTCCATCACCCACCCTGGCAGGTGATGGAGTATGACACGCCAGCAGCGCTGCTGGACAGTCAAGGGCAGTCCTTCTCTGAGTTGGTTCAAAGTTTCTTCCCCTGCCAACACCCCTCTCCTTCGCCCGTTGCACTGTGTAGGTGATGGAGTATGACACGCCAGCAGCGCTGCTGGACAGTCCCGAGGGGCAGTTCTCATCACTGGTGGAGGACACGGGCGAGCAGACTGCAGCACACCTGCGCAAGATTGCACGCGGGGAGCTCGATTTCTTTGCTGCTTACTCTAAGATCGTCAAGGCTGAGTGATGGGGGAAAGGGATTGGAGGGAGGGATGCTTCGTGTACGTGTAGCCGGCAGATTTGCCTTTCTTGGCTGGCTGCATAGAATGTGGAGTGAGGGAGAGGGGTATTCTAGCCTTGTTAGGCTAGCATTGGTTCACAGCCCTGTTTTATTGACACACGGGACGGGTGTGCAATAAAGATGATGTGGATGATTTCTTACAGCTCCTTTTTGTTGTTTCTTTGTGAGTGACGAAATACAGTACATCAAATACCACGTTCAGTTTGTCCAACCATACCATTCCCAGTCAAGCAAAAAACAATCAGCAACCACAAAGCCAACTCAACACAACTTACACAGCTAAACCTTCTACACCCCCACCACTCCCCACCCCTCTCCACCACCAACACATCATCCTCACTCTTCCAACCCTGGCGGTGCCTCCACCACTCCCACATCGCCATTGAGCTCCGCGCCCCTCCGCAGCTTCTCCTGCATCAACCTCGCCATCTGTGACCGCGGCTGAGCAGCAGCAGTGGCTTCAGAGGGCGAAGAGGAGGGCTCGAGTTGAGCAGTCGTGGGGGCGAAGGTCTTGGAGGCAAATGCAAAGGCGAGGTTGGAGAGGAGCGTGAAGAGCAGGAGCGCAGCGCCGGAGTAGGCTAAGAAGGGTGTGTCGAATTCCGGCCAGCCTTCCGCACTCGCCCCTCGCCCCACTTGCAGGGCTGCCAATGGGGAGGGGTTGAGGGGGAAGAGGTGGAGAGAGGGAGGGGAAAAAGGGGAGATGGGGGAGGGAGAGGGGGGTGGTGGGGGGAAGGGAGGTGGAGAAGATGTGGTGAGGGGGCGAGGGTGGAGATTGTGTGGGCAGATGTGGGTGTGGTATGTGGCAAGGAATACTTAGAGAAGGGCATGTGGAGGCAGAGCAAGTAGCAATTTTAGCAGCGCACAGAATGAGCATGTGCTAGTCCCATGTGCAAGCCCCATGCGCAACGCATTCACCCCTGTCCCTGCCATCCCTGCCTGCTCCCTCTACCTCTTAGCTCTGCCTCGACCTCGCCTCACATCCGCACCGTGCCCTGCGTGTCTCACAAGTTCACAACCCACCTGGCTTCTCCTTGCTGCCGCCACTGCTGCTACTGCTGGGGCCTGAGCTGGCAGCACCAGGCGCGCCCTCTCTCCTTGCGCCATCGCTTCCCCCGCTCCCCCTCCCTATCCTGCGCCGCTGCCGCTCCTCCCGCGCCAGCTCCAGCAGCTGCGCGTCCAATGCGCGTAGCGCAGCGGCGGCGCCCGCCGACGGCGCCGCGGCCGGCTTCGAGGACGAAGCTGCCGACGCGCCATTGGACGGACCGCTAGTGGACGAGTCGGTACCGGCGATATTAGGGTTCCCGGCATTCCCCGATCGGCCAGTCAAGCTGCCATTGCCGCCTGACGGCTGCTCGCTGCCGGCTAAACACCGCACTGACTTGGCCGACCTTGGAAGCCGGCACGATTCGGCGTGGGGTAAGGCGGACGACGGGAGGGAGACGGGTGCCCCTAGCGGCGCGAGGAAGGCCATAGGACGTATTGCGCTGACATGCATGGATGAATGCTTCTGGCGGGAATTCCAGGAGTGGGTGGCTCGCGGGACGTTGGCATAAACTTTGACGCCTACACAAAGCAAACTCGTTGCAGCTACAAGACGTTCATTTTGTATCGTCAGATATCGGATTGTTTCTGTAGATGCTTTCTAAACGCGTCTTTCCGTTATCTCATATAGAATCATCATATTCTAAATGAGTAAAAACGCCAGGTGGCGAGGTACCACCGTGGGTTCGTGAGTTTACTGTCGACGCTCCTCAGCGGCCTCCACTCACGACCGACATCCTGGCTAGAGCTATCCACACAGCTGCTCGCGCCTCAGCTGCAGGGCCATCGGGATGGGTCACAGAGCATCTGCGCGACACTTTCCTCACGGAACCTTCCTGCCTCTCCCACCTGCTGGAAGTGTTCAACCAATGGGTGGCGGGACAGGTCCCCGAGCGAGCTCGGCCCTGGCTCGCCGCATCCAACCTAGTCGGGCTTTCCAAACCCAACGGTGACGTCCGGCCGGTGGCGATCGGGGAGGTGCTTCCGCGTATCCTCGCTCGAGCTCTCTGCATCTCGCTTCGCCCTGTGATGGCTTCTTATTTTCTGCCGTGTAACCAGCTGGGAGTGGGCACCAGGGCCGGGGTGGAGATTCTTACTCATTCTTTCCGGTCAGCGCTGGCCACTCACCCCGACTGGTGTGCGCTGCAGATAGATGTCGCGAACGCCTTCAATTCGTTTCATCGCCACGCGATGTTCGAGGGGCTGAAGGAGTCGCCTTTCTCAGGAATGATCCCATTCTTGCGTGTCTTCTATGGGACACCTAGCGACCTGTACCTCCGAGCGGGCCCTTTCGTACAGAGTCTTGAGTCGGCACGAGGATCGCGACAGGGGGACCCGCTCGGCCCTTTTCTTTTCGCTTTCACGCAGCAGCAGGTGCTGGGGACGGTGACTAGAGAGTTCAGGGACCTACTTTTCTTGAGCTATGCAGACGATACCTACATCCTGGGACCAGCGGCTAGGATTCTGGAGGCTTTTGGGGTGCTGCGGGAGAGGTTGGAGTGGGTGGGGCTGGAAGTGCAGGCGCACAAGTGCAGGTTTTGGGAGCGTGGAGGTGGGGATATGGAGCGGGCATTGCCTTTGGGGATGCAGCGGGAGGAGGAGGGTCTCACTGTGGTGGGCGTGCCTATTGGGGAGGAGGATTGGGAGGGGGCCCGATTACGGAAGCGGCTTCGCGAGTTGCAGGCGCCATTGCCGTGGCTCCCCCTGCTCGACCACCCCCAGATGGCCTCGCATCTCCTCGCTATTGCAGTTTCAGCACGGCCGATGTACCTGGCCCGGACTATGCCGCCGCGGCCGGAGGTGGTGGAGGCCTTTAGAGAGTGGGACAGCTGTCTGGAGGATTGCTTTGAGCAGCTTTTCCCCCCTGGCACTTGGGAGCAGGACCCTGGCAGGCCTAGGCGCGCACGCATGCAGCTGCATCTCCCTGTGCGCCTCGGAGGGTTTGGGATCCGGGCGGCGGCCTCTTTGAGTCCGCTCTCCTATGTTTGTGGGTGGGCGCAGGCCGCACGGGATATTGCACATTTGGGGGTGGCGGGCGAGGAGGCGATGTTCGCAGAGTACCTCACCACTTCGGCGGGGGCGGAGCTTCTTGACCCGTGGTTTGCCAAGGCCATTGAGCAGTTGCCCGCGACTATACGCCAGGAGCTGCCGGACTTACCCCTGTGTGTGGCGGCCCCTCCTCTTCGGCTTTTCCAGGCGCGGCAGCGGCAGTTGGCTGTTGAGGAGCTCCAGGCACTCCGCCGCTTGGCTCGTGACGATGCCACCCTGGCCCGTTTCACATCCCTTCAGGGCCCGGGGGCTGGTGCATGGGTTTCGGCAGTTCCGGCTCATTCAGATCTCACATTCACTGCAGCGGAGTGGGGCATTGCTGCTGCTATACGGCTTGGTCTCCCAATCCAGCAGCTGCAAGTGGCGGGGAGGTGTGTTTGTGGCACAGCGTATGATGACCCAGCAGACCCGCATCATGCGCTGAGATGCAAGCACCAACACGGTCCATCTCGGGTGCATGATGAGGTGAAGTTTGCGGTGGCAAAGATCGCTAAGGCGTCAGGGGGGGTGGTGACGATGGAGGATAGTGCGGTGCTGCCGGGGAAGCGGGTTGACGTAGCGGTGCGACGACCAATGGCTGGGGAGGCTCATGCTTTAGAGATTAGTGTCGCGGACCCGCTATCACTGTCTCCATCTCTGCTAGGGCAGTGCGGGCGGTCTATAGGCGTGGCGGCAAAGGAGTGGGAGCGTCGCAAAACGGGGGATTACGCGCCTCTTCTTGCACGGAACCGAGGCGTGCAGTTCACCCCTTTGATAGTGGAGACGTGGGGGTGTCTCGGCGGTCGCTTCCGGCGGTGGCTTCGACAGCAGGGGGACGCGCACGTGGGGCTAGCTGTGTCACGGGGGGCTTGTCGGGAGGATGACACTTCGTTCTCGGCTTACCTTTTGGGGTCTCTGAAGGCGCTCATCGGAGTGGCGTTACAACGGGCGCAAGCTCGTGTCATCCTGCTTCGGGCGGCGTCTTCCATGGGGGGGTTGAATGTGGACTTGGTGGATCGGGAGAGGGACGATGTCGAGGTGGAGGGCGGGCCTCTTTGGGTGGAGGCCCCCTACATGGTGGATGTGCAGATGTGACTTGGGGGGGGAAGGGGGGGGGCGAGGGGGAATGGGGTGCGAGATGGGACGTCTGGTAGGGGATCCTGGTTGGGTTTTTTTCTTTATGGAGTATTTTTATGGGGCTTTTTATGGGTGTTGCGTTTGAGTTGTTTCTGGTGTCTTTCTTTCCCTTTTCCTTCTCCCTCTTTCCCTTTTCCTCTTTCTATCCATACGCAATATTGGTTGTACGTTCGAGGATGTTCGATGCGTTGCATGTCAATAACAATATCATGTAAATGCATTAAAAAAAAAACCATATACAATGGTGCCTCGCCGCATCATAGGTATCTCCACATCATAGTGTACTCTTAAACAGGAACCGACAGAATGCCAAAGCACTCTATTACAATCATGTCCGTGCTATTTGGGGTATTTTGTCTTGCATATTTCTATGCAGCATTATATGATCAAGGCTTCAGTATTTTCGTAGCGAACTGCTGTTCACGGAGCTTTCAAGCCAGCGGTGGCTCACCACCAAACAGACACCACGCGAAGTCGCGAATGACGAAGACGTTTGATTTCGCCGACAAAGAACAAAGCATGTTGGCGAAGGGTTGCCCGTGCCTTGCGCCTTCGCCCAAACGAGCCATGACTGCACGGAGGCAGCAAGGTTGAAGTCCCCCACGGCCTACTAGGGCGTTCTTTTCCCAACTCGACCAGAGGTAAGCAGGATTCGGGTAGGGGGAGTAGGTGCCACGTGTCAAGCAGCACCGTGAATCAAGCTAGGAAGGATCGTAGGCAGCGCCAGCAGGCGATTGGGT